GTGGGGGGGCAGAGGGGACCGGCCACGGGGTTGAGGGCCTCCTGGTGTTGCCATGGGCCGCGGGGGACAGCCTGGGGTCCCCATTCTGGAGCTCCCCCGACTCTGGAGAGCGGAGGGGACACCGCTATGGACGAGGGACTGTCCCCCGCCTGGCTGACTCTTCTCTTCTGCCTCCAGATTACCTAAACAACCTCCGCCCCGACTCGGCCGAGTACGAGGACACCCAGGGTGAGTCCCCGCCGCCCGGAGGCAGGGGACGTGTTCTCCCCCCCCCACTCCCTGGGGTGGCCTGATGTCAGACAAAGGACGAGAAGGGAGGGGGTGGCGGCTCAGTGACAGGAGGGCAGATGCCGTGGCACCCGCCTGCCATCCCAGCGGCTCGGGAGGCTGAGGCAGGAGGATCTCCAGTTGGAGGCCAGCCTCAGCACTTTAGTGCGCCTCTAAGCAACTTTGCAAGATCCTGCCGAAAAATGAAAGATAAAAAGTGTCCGGGGATGTAGCTCCGTGTTAAAGCCCAGCGGCCCCTGCGTGTGATGACTGGGACGGTCCTCACTGTAACGTCCCGGTTTATACCCGGGAAACCGAGGCCCGGCTTGGTCAGGGTGGGGGCCACGGAGGCAGAGGAGGTAGAGGTGGGTTGGTGTCACCCTGCGCAGAGAACGAGTAGGGGTCAGGGGCCAGTGGGGAGGGGCGGGAAGAGGCGAGGACGGGGACAGCGGGACCAGCCCTCCCCAGAGGCCCGGGGGCTGACTCTGCTTCCTCCCAGGAGCCCTGAGCCTCATCTCCAAAGTCACAGACCGAGCCAACGACAGCATGGAGCAGGGGGTAAGTCCAGCCCTGCACACCCTCCCTCGGTGCCCACCCTGCCCTGCCTGACGCGGGAGACCCCATCCCTGATCCCGCGGGACCCTGCAGAGGACCTTGGGTTCTGGCCTCAACAATTGCTGTGTGACCTCAGGTACGGCGGGTCCCTCTCTGGGCCTCTGGTTCACCATTTGAACAAAGAGGGAGCCTACAACCTTCTACAACCCGGATCAGTAAGGCCCCGACGGGGGTCTGAGACCATCTGCCTCAGCACCTGGGGGGCTTTGTAAATGACAGGCTCCGAGGGGTACAGACCTTGGGTCTCCCTGAGTTGTTGAGGGCCTTGCTAATAAGTGACTGAGGCTGGCCTCTCAACTCGCGATCCTCCTGCCTCAGCCTCCCGAGCCGGTGGGATGGCAGGCGTGCGCCACCGTGCGGGCCGGGAGTCCACTTCTGGTTCTGCCTGGTGCGATTCTGTGACCGGGGGTTGACGCTGTGTCTGCCAAGGGTGACGAGCCGTCCCTGTCCAGTCCCACTCGGGGGTCCCCGCGGTGACTTGTGTCCCCTCAGTCCCTGCTGCGCCTCGCGGTGGGCACGCCGCAGCTTCTGTGTTAAGAATGATTCTGAGGCCGCGTCCTGGTGAGTGGGAAAGCGCGGTGACCCACTGCCCGTGACCTCCACAGGCACAGAAGGGGGTGACGGTGGCTTGTGGGCCATAGCTGACGCACAGAGCGTCCTTGCTGTGGGTTGTGCAGAAGGAGAGGAGGAGGGGACGGAGCATTTCTGGGCCACCTCCCGTGTGGCAGCCTCCCGTCGCGGGGTGGATTGGAGACACGCGATGAGGCGGGATCCCAGCGCTCGCGGAAGGTCCCGCTCAGTGGAGCAGCAAATGTCTGGTTGCGTGTAACCCCAGTAAATGTCACCAGAGAGACAGAGGGACAGCTGCAGAGTTCAGGCAGGGGACACAGCCCGTGCTGCTCAGGCCAGAGACGCGAGTGTCCCCCTTTCGGGGCGAGGAGTGGATGTGGAGCACCGTGCCCCAGGACATTTGCACAGTTGCGGAGGCCGGAGGGAGGAGGCAGAGGCCTGGAGTTGAGGAGGCCGAGGTGGGACAGGAGTCTGGGGGAGACTCGGGGCTGGGCACAGAGGCCGAAGCCCACTGAGCCGACCTCGGGTGGGCTAGACGTGTCCTCTCGGGTGTCTGCCGGGTCCCCGCCCCGGGGCTGGGCATCTGCGCACGCAGCACAATTCCCTGCAGAGGGACTCGGGGCTCAGCAGCAGACGGGCTGGGCTCCCCACACCCCTCTGCTCCTCCAAGGAAAAACTGGGTCAGGCAGCGCTGGCCCTGGACACCCCCCGGGGGCGACGGGAATAGCCATGGCCCGGGCTGGTCATCGTCCCTCAAGCTGCTGGGCACGGCTGCTCCAGGCCACCCCACACTTGCATGGACAGATGGGGGCGTCTCCACGGCCCAGCCCAGGGCCGTCCCGCCGTCCCTCCCCGATGACCGCCAGGGAGCCAGGTAAAGTGCGTCAGAGGGCGCCGTCCCCGCTTGTGCCAAAGCTGCCCTTTTGTTTCTGTTGGTGCCAGGGATGGAACCCAGGGCGCTTAGCCACTGACCCCGCCCCCAGCCCCTCGTCTATTTCATTTAGAGACAGGGGCTCCCCGAGCTGCTCAGGGCCTCCCTGTTGCTGAGGCTGGCCTTGAACTCGCCATCCTCCTGCCTCAGCCTCCCGAGCTGGTGGGATGACAGGCGTGGGCCACCGCGCCCCGCTGCTGTGCTCTATAATGGTTCCAGCCGTGGCACCGGGAGCCCCTGCAGTTAGTCTCCGTGCCCCTTTCAGACGCCCCCATCCATGTGAGTCGGGGCGTTGGTGCTTGATATTCCAGATGAGTCCGTGTCCTGTATTTACTGTCCCTGTCTTAGAATCAGCCGTTTCTCCAGGAATCTCTGGTTCCTTTCATCGGATAATGGTCTTAAAATATCAAGAGATATTTGGAGCTGGGTGTGGTGGCACACACCTGTCATCCCAGCGGCTCAGGAGGCTGAGGCAGGAGGATCACAAGTTGGAGGCCAGCCTCAGCAATTTAGCCAAGTTCTAAGCAGCTCCGCGAGACCCTGTCTCTAAATAAAATACAAAAAAAGGGCTGGGGACGGGGCTCAGGGGTTCAAGTGCCCCTGGGTTCAATCCCTGGTACCAAGATTTTAAAAAAACCAAGAACCAAAATTGGGTCCTGGGTACAGCCATTGCTCACGGGGCCTCAGTTTCTCAAGCCGTCTCCGCTGGCGGAACCAGGCGGTCGCCCATACTCCCCCGAGAACCCGCGGGGACCACCTTCTGCACACAGAGCCACATGCACCTTAAACGCGTCGTGAGTTCGCACCTTGTTTCCGACTCACGTCGTCACACACAGGGCACCCTGGCCTTCCCCCCTGCTCTCCGAAATGTCCCCCCGACGGCGACTCCCATCCACTTCGCCGTCCCGTTGGCCCTCGGTTCTCAGAGACTCTGTCGGTGAGTCCACAAGTCGGGGGGGGGGCAGCTCTGTCCTCTGGGCCGCCACCATCTGCCCTTTGTGTTCTGGTTTTTGGAAGCTGGACTCTGGCGCGTCTCTGTGGCTCTTGAGGGGCCTCAGGTGGCTTGAAACCTGTCACGATTCTCAGGCTTCTCGGTGGGACCTGCCCGTCACTGGTCCGTTAGTTAATTCGGGGGACACTCTCTTGGATGCTGTGTGACGCACCCACACGCTTTTCCCCTCCACCTCTCTGTTTCCATTTAGATCTTTACTGATCCATCCTCCCCCCGTGGGTCCCCTCCCCGGCCACACCTGTGGAAGGTGTCCCTTCTTGTGGATTTTGTGGGTCTTTAAAAACATTGCCGTTCGACTCTGTGAGAGTCTCCGTGTCCCTGCACGTCACCTGACTTTGCCCCTTTAGAATTCCCTTTCCGTCATGTTGATCATGTTACTCTGAAGCCCCTGTGTGTTCGTGCCACCGCCTGTCACCTCTTGTTCTGCACGATCAGTTGAGGCGTCTGGGGACGGGCAGGGTCCTGGGCAGGCCGGGTACCCTCACCTCCCAAGGGGGCTCTGTCTGGCCCCGTCCCCAGCCCCCAGTCTGCCTCCTGAGCCCCCGGCAGAGACTCACGGGAGGGAACCGGCCATTGCGTGCAGATTCCCGCGTGTCCACCTCTCTGGGCTGTTCTGGGTCCAGCCGGGAGCCCCCCTCGACCCCTGGGAATGCGTTAACATTTGAGCTGCCAGCCACCTCGTCCTCCCGTGTGTCACCCCAGGTGTGACGTTCCTAGGGAGGAGCGTGTCAGGCTTTGGGATTCAGTTCAGGGGCCGGCTGGTGACCTGGGCTCTCGCAGACTTAAGGACAGATGGGACTCACAGGCCCCTGGACCCTCCTGGGAGCAGAGACTGGACCCAGCCTTGGGAGAGCAGGAGCTGTGGCCCAGAGACAGACAGAGTCCGTCCCCAGCACACACAGGAGGAGGGTGGCGTCAGGCCCGGAGCCTGGCAGGACCAGCCTTGGCATCCCGCAGGCCCGGCTCTGCCCAGCGTCCCGCCTGCCTTTTGTAGAGGCTGGATCGGGGGCCAGGGTCTGACCCTCTGCCCTCGCCCACAGGAGAACCTGCAGAAGCTGGTGCACATCGACCACAGCGTGCGGGGCCAGGGGGACCTGCTGCAGCCAGGGAGGGTGAGTGCCGCCCTGCGGGGAGCGCCAGGCTCCCCCGCCCCAGCTCAGGTTGGTTCTGGGTGTCCTGGGGGGTCTCTTCACTCCGGGAAGACGGGGCGCCAAGTATTTTCAGTCCCGAGTGGCTGCAGAAGCAGAAGATCATCTCTAGAACAAATCTTAAGAAAGCATCTTAAAAATACGGTCTTTGCCGGGCCCCAGGACTCAGGCCTGTCATCCCAGCGGCACGGGAGGCTGAGGCAGGAGGATGGCAAGTTGGAGGCCAGCCTCAGCCACTTAGCAAGGCCTGGGGGTCCTCCATGGGGGCTACTTTCTGGCCCTCTGGAGTCTTCAGGGTCGTCCCCTGCCTCTTGTCTGGGGCAGCAGTGGGCCAAGCCAGATGACCGAGGTCTGCCTCCGTCCCCACAGGAGTTTCTCAAGGAAGGGACACTGGCGAAAGTCAGGGGCAAGAGCAGACATCCCCGGCACCTGTTTCTGGTAAGTACTGTCCCCACCCAACGCCAGCCCCCGGACCCTCTAGTCCCATGAAATCGTCCAGGGCCCGCATTCGAGTGGAAAGGAACAGGTAAAATGGAGCAGGGCAGGATCTACGTCCTGTGGAGTAGCGATGTCAACCTTAGTGGCTCACTGACACATGGGCAGCTCCCTGTCCCCTTCCCAGGACCGCCAGGATCCTGTACTTACGGTGTTAGTCAGCTTTCCATCACTGTAACAGACATCCGAGAGAGGATCAACTTAAAAAGAAGAAAGGTTTCTCTTGGCTCAGTTGCGGGAGCCCCACCTCGCAGCCCATTGGCCCTGTTTTGGGGGCCTGTGGTGAGACAGCGCGTCAAGGCAGAGCTAAGCCCCTCATCTTTGAAGCCAGGAGGCCAAAGAGAGGAAGAGGAAGGGGTCAGGTGGGGTTCCACAGTCCTTTCAAGGACACACCCCCAAGAACCTAAAGACCTCCCGCTAAGCCCCGCCTCTTAAAGCACCATACCCCTCAATAGCACCAGTGCTTCCACACAGGAGCACTCAGGGGATATTCAAGACCCAACCCTAACACCGCCTGTCTTCTGGGTCCAAAGGCAGCTGATGGCACTTGGCAGAGAAATCCTGAGCCTAGCCAGAAAGCGAGGCGTCCAGACCCCAGTGGCTTGAATCCTGACCTGGCTTGGTGACCCCAGGCTGCTGCACCCTTTCAGCTAGACTAACCCCTCTCTCCAGGGAGGGGACAGGGCTTCCTGGGGCTTCTCCCTGCCTGTCCTGCTGGAGTTGCTCCTTCAGCAAGTGTTCATTGAGCACCTACTGTGTGCCCAGAGTGACAGCCCAAGGTGCAGCCCGTGAGCAGGACCCACCAGGGCCAACCCCCGGGGAGTCCTCCTCCTCCCTGGGCTCCCTCACTCCACCTCGCCGACGTTGCTCCGCGGTGTCCAGAGTCTGTAGCATGGACACCCCACATGGTTTTTATTGTGGGTGCCGGGGATTGAACTCAGGGGCACTCGACCACTGAGCCCCGTCCCCAGCCCTATTTTGTGTTTTATTTAGAGACAGGGTCTCCCTGAGTCACTTAGGACTTCACTGAGTTGCTGAGGCTGGCCTCGAAGTTGGGATCCTCCTGCCTCAGCCTCTGGGGTCCCTGGGATGACCGGTGTGCAGCATCATGCCCGGTCCCTCTTGAGCGTCTTAACCCGGAGTAGGATTGTGGGGAAGGGGCTCACGTTTCAGCCCAGAGTGGCCTTGCTCACCTGTGGGGTCCCTGGGGAGTGCCGGATGCCTGTGCACCCCAGAGCTCAGGGATCCTCCAGGACGGAAGCCTGGCACAGGGACCCGGAGGAGCCTGATAGCCTGCCCTCTCCCCAGATGAGCGACGTGCTTCTGTACACGTATCCCCAGAAGGACGGCAAGTACCGGCTGAAGAGCTCCTTGGCGGTGGCCAATATGAAGGTAAAGCCTGGGGCTGGGCATCTGGGAGGCCCCGGGAAGGAGGAGAGGCACCCCCACGGGCCTGGAGAGGGCCCCCCCAGGAATCAGTGTCAACTGTGAGCTGTGGCATGTTCCACGTCCTCCGGGGAGAGGGAACCCTGGAGGGCTCCCTGGAGGCAGCATCCTAAGCACTGATGGGAAGAGGGCCTAAGCCCCTGGGAACCACCATTCTTATTTTCTTCCCATCCCCCTCCCCTCCCTTTGTCTAATCCAGTGAACTTCTACCCCTACCTTGGCCATTGTGAGTCAGCGTCCACTTATCAGAGACAACATTCGGCCTTTGGTTTTTGGGGATTGGCTTATTTTGCTTAGCTTGATAGTCTCCAGCTCCGTCCATTTGCCTGCAAATGCCATGATTCCCTTCATCTTCATGGCTGAGTAATATTCCATTGAATATATATACCACATTTTCTTTATCCATTCATCTATGGAGGGGCTCCTAGGTCCCTTCCATAGCTTAGCTGTTGTGAACTGAGCTGCTATAGACATTGACGTGGCTGCCTCACTGTCGTGTGCTGATTGTACGTCCTTTGGGTGTAGACCAAGGAGTGGGAGAGCTGGGTCAAACAGAACCACCTTTCTTTCTGTGGCGATGACCTCCACCACTCCCGGGGCCTCCTGCACGGGTCCCCTAACAGCGTCCATGTCCTGTGTCCAGCTCTCTCCGCTGAGGCCCATCTGTGTGGTGACAGCTGTCCGGTTGCTCCTTCCTCAGTGCCATTCTCTGTGTGTGTGGCACGGCTCGGTCACGCACTCACCCCTCAAGGGACGCTTGGTCCCTTCCACATGTGGCCCTTGTAGTAATGGCTGCCACAAACCTGGGCACGCCCGTGTGGCCTCGCCCAGCGCACCTTGGTCCTGAGGATGGGGACGCCTGGTGGATTTGGGGCACTCTTGGGGAGCAGGAGGTTTGGGGCAGTGGGTTCTGAGGCCACCGAGGACAGAGGAGGCGCCTGGCAGGGGCAGGGCGGGGAGCGGGTAGGGGCCGGGCCAGTGACCCAGGGGCTCCGCGGAGTCGCCTGGCGGAGGAGGCCGTGGGAGACCCTGCCACAGGGCGGCGTCCGCCCAGCAGGACAGCATGCCTGTAGGCTGCCCAGGAGGGGACAGTCCCCGCAGCCTTCCTGGGGGTGACGGCGCCAGCAGCCAGACACCTCCCACAGCCTCAGCCATGGCACCAGGGCCACCCTCTGCCCATGAGGACCCTGGGGCAGAGAGGATGTCCGTGGCAGGGCCAGGCCCCTTTGTCCACCGCCACCCGTGGACAGCAGGTGGGTTGCTGCCCTCCCGCCGCAGCCTCAAGGGGCTCTGTGGGTCCCGCAGGTCAGCCGCCCCGTGATGGAGAAGGTGCCCTACGCGCTCAAGATCGAGGTGCCCGAGTGCTGCCTGCTGCTGTCCGCCAGGTAGGGGGCGGGGCTGTGGGAGGGCGGGGCCTTGAGGTAGGGGCGGGGCTGCTGGAGGGCGGGGCCTTGAGGTAAGGGCGGGGCTGTGGGTGGGGCGGGGTCTAAAGGTATGGAGTGGGCCAGGGAGGGGCGTGGCCTTGAGGTACAGGGTGGGGCTGCTGGAGGGGCGGGGCCTCAGAGGAGGACAGGAACACAGGAGGGGCGTGGACTCGACATGGGGCAGGGCTGTGGGGTGGGCGGAGCCCCAAGGTATGGGGCGGGGCTGGGTATGGGTGTGGCCTTCAGGTACAGGGTGGGGCTGCAGGAGGGGCGGGGCCTCAGGGTATGGGCAGGGACACAGGAGGGGTGTGGCCTCGACATGGGGCAGGGCTGTGGGGTGGGCGGGGCTGGGTAGGGGCGTGGCCTTGAGGTACAGGGTGGGGCTGCAGGAGGGGCGGGGCGTTGGGGTATGGGCGAGAACACAGGAGGGGTGTGGCCTCGAGGTGTGGGGCCAGGCTGTGGGATGGACGGGGCCTCAAGGTATGGGGAGGAGGCGAAGGAGGAGGGGTGCCTGGGCAGGGATCCGTGTCCCCTCCTTGGTCAAATCAGTGACGGGGGGGGCAGTCTGTGTCCAGCCTTGGCTGAGGGTGCTGATAGGCCACGCTGGCCCTCAGGTGGGGACGGCCATCTCCCCCAGGGAGGGGCCGTGCGCTCTGGCCTGTGGCGTCCAGCAGCTTGCCAGTGACAGGCCCGTCCCCTCCAGCCAGCCCAGACTCTCCACACTGGAGCAGTGGGGGCGGAGGGGCCGTGGAACCCGTGTATGTCCTCTTACCGACCCGGCAGCTGGCTGCCCCCACGCCCACACCGAGCACCAGGTCCCCCCCAGCCAGGGCGTCCCTCCCGCCCCCTCGGGCTTTCTGCGCGGGCCGTGCGCGCCACCTGGTGGGCACTGTGGGAACTCCACCTGCGCTGGTTCCCAGGGACCCTAGCCCTGGGGTGGCCCTGTCCACTCAGGACGCGGTGTTCCGGAGAGAGGGGGCTTGCGAAGTCTGTCTGTGGGGTGCGTGAGCCTCTAGGGAGCCCTGTAGGACATCAGGGGAAAGATGGAAAGATGGGGTGCTCACCCGTGCCAGCTTCCACCCCCGTCCACGAGGACCCTGGCCTTCTGTGCCCTCCTAAATCGTGGGACCCTCTAGGCTGCCCTGGGGCCTCTTGCTTTGGAACGGTGTCTTGCCAGGGACAGAGGGACAGGACAGAGGACACCCCCTATTTCATTTCACCTTCACAACGGCCCTGGGAGCTGGAGGCACCCCACGCGGACATGGCCCCTGGTACAGGCCAGGAGCTGGACGGACTGATTCCTTCCTCCACGCACACACCCCAGGGCTAGAACCAGGGGCGCTCAACCTGAGCCCAGCCCCAGCCCCAGCCCTTGTTGTATTCTGTTGAGAGAAGGGTCTCCCTCAGTGACTTAGGGCCTCGCTAAATGGCTGAGGCTGGCCTCCAATTTGCAATCCTCCTGCCTCAGCCTCCCAAGCTGCTGGGATGACAGGGGTGCGCCATGGCCCCATGAGGAGCTGGGATCTAACCCTAGTCTGGGGGGACTATCCAAATAAACAAATGACAAACGTAGCCCTGCAGGCCGAGGCTGTTCTGGTGGTGGGGTGAGGGGCTCTGGTGTGGGGACGGCCCTGCGCGTTGATCCACGGGGAGGGGCGGGAGGTGGAGGCCGCCGCTGCCCCGCTCACCGAGGCCCGTGCCCGCAGCTCCTGCGCCGAGAGGGACGAGTGGTACAGCTGCCTGAGCAGAGCCCTCCCCGAGGACTACAAGGCCCAGGCGCTGGCCGCCTTCCACCACAGCGTGGAGGTGAGTGGGGACCAGCTCCCAGCCTCAGCGGGTACCAGGAGGCCTCCCTCACCAGGGAGGTGCCCCCGCCCTGACCTGGGGACACTGGCCTTGTCCCCGCAGATTCGGGAGCGGCTGGGCGTCAGCCTCGGGGAGAGGCCCCCCACCCTGGTGCCCGTCACCCACGTCATGATGTGCATGAACTGCGGCTGCGACTTCTCCCTCACCCTCAGGCGACATCACTGCCACGCGTGCGGCAAGGTGAGGGCCGCAGGGTGGGGACAGGGCCTCCCCGCCCAGCCAGGGTCCAGGGCCCAGAGCAAGGCACGTCCACCTGGCCCTGGGGGGCCCAGTCTTATTTTATTTTTCAATATTTATTTTCAATATTTTATGATTTTTATTTGACCCAGAGTGCATTTTGACACATGAAACACACGGGGAGTGGGACTTCCCTTTCTTGTACATGATGTGGCCTGTCACTGGTCGTGGGTTCATGTGTGAACGCAGGACAGTCATATCCGCTTCATCCCCGCCCCTTGGTTCCCTTTGTGTAATGCAGTGAACGTCTACACACACACACACACACACACACACACACACACACACACACACCCCGTGTGTTAGCGTCCTCATATCAGAGGGAACATGTGGCCTTGTTCTTTGGGGATTGGCTTCTTTTACTCGGCATGATAGTCTTGAGTTCCATCCATTTACCAGCAAACACCATAATTTCATTCTTCTTTATGGGTGAGTAATATTCCACTGTGTCTATAGACCACATTTTCTTTATCTATTCATCTGTTGAAGGGGACCCAGGTTGGTTCCACGTTTAGCTGTTGTGAATTGAGCTGCTATAAACACTGATGTGGCCGTGTCCCTGTTGGGTGCTGACTTTAAGTCCTCTGGGTATAAGCCAAGGAGTGGGACAGCTGGGTCACATGGTGGTTCCACTCCCAGTTTCCTGAGGAGCCTCCATCTGGCTTTCCACAGTGGCTGCCCCAGTTTGCAGTGTCACCGGCCGTGCAGGAGGGTGCTTTCCCCGCGTCCTCGCCAGCACTTAGGGCTACTTGTCACCATGCTCCAAATCCCGAGGTGGCTCCCTACTTACCATGTTTAACCTTTCAGTTAATTTTGGGGTGCATTGTGACCCCACACGACGGTGGGGCTGGTTCCCCAGTTGGGTGTGCGCGTCACACCCCTGCCTCCCCCTGGTCCCCTCCTGGTGTCCCCTCTGTTTCCAGGAGACCCCCCACACCAGATTTGAAAGGACATGGCAGGTCCCTGGAGGAGGAAGGAGTAGGTCCCCCCGGGGGACAGGCTCCTCAGGAGGCCGGAGGGGACTTGCTCAGGAGCAGCATCGTGTGGCCTGGGAAGCAGGGGTCGCAACACCTGGGGACAGTCAGCAGTCAGGGCTCCCTGGAGGAGGGGCCCTGGTCAGCCTCACTGGCGCGTGTCCCCGCGTGTCCCGCAGATCGTGTGCCGGAACTGCTCGCGGAACAAGTACCCGCTGCGGTACCTCAAGGACCGCATGGCCAAGGTGTGCGACGGCTGCTACGGGGAACTCAAGAAGAGGGGCGGCGCCGTCCCCGGCCCCCTGAGAGGTGGGTGGCCCGCGGCTGCTCCTCTGCCTCCCTGTCCCCGCCTGAAACCACGTCCCCCACGAGGGAGCGAGTGGACCAAAGTGGCCCTGGGGGACCTGGAGGTCCAGGCTCACCCCAGGGCACCCACCAGAGGGGGCAGCCCAGCCCCTGCCCGTGGCCTCTGTCTGTTCTGGCGGGAGGGACTGTGCCCGCCTTCCTGGTCCCACCTCACAGGGGAGGGACCGCCTGAGCCGTTGGTGGCCTCTGTCCCCTGCAGAGCGGCCCATGAGCATGAGCTTCCCGCTGACCTCCGCCCGCTTCTCCTCGGGCAGCGCCCTCTCCGCCGTCTTCCCCTCCACCTTCAAGAAGCAGAAGAAAGTCCCTTCGGCCCTCACGGAGGTAAGGCGCAGGGGACGGGGACTTGGCGTGTCCACTGTCCCCTGGGGGGCAGGCCTCCCTGCCCAGCCTGACTGGTCCCCACTCTTCCCCGGCGGCGCAGACCCAGGGCCCACCACGGTGCACACTGGGCCTGGGGCCTGAGCGAGCCCCAGCCTAGGACAGCCCTCCCGAAGCCACACACCCCAAGAAAGTGTCACCGTCGATCCCACGTTTCTCCTTGAATATTCGTCGCAGGTGGCAGGTGGCAGGATGTAGGGTGTTAGAGGATGACGTTTAGAAACAGGTGACGTTCTGCCCACTGACCTGCTCCTTCTGCAAGTCACAAATGTGGGCAACAGGGCTGGGTGTCCCTTAGCGCTCAGGGTCCTGCTGGCCGTGCCCGAGGCCCCGGCTCCACCCCCAGCTCCGTGACAGTCATGTTAACAAAGTGGAGAAGGGAGAAGTGAGCTCCTCTTCGTCCCCAGCCTCGCTCCGTCCCCAGAGGGGACAACCAGCCAGTGACTTTCTTTGCTTGGCCGAGAGGAGAGGGTATCAGAGACGGACCTTGGGGACACTCGGCCCCTGAGCCCCGTCCCCAGCCCTGTTTGCTACTTTATCTAGAGACAGGGTCTCCCTGAGCTGCTTAGGGCCTCGCTGTGGCTGAGGCTGGCCTTGAACTGGAGATCCTCCTGCCTCAGCCTCCGGTGAGCACCACTGCGCACGGCTCCAAGGCAGGTCTTGACCACAGGTCCCCTGGGTCCCCTCAATCCTGTCTGCCACACCCTGAAGTCCTGCTGTGCTGACCTTGGTGCTGACTAGATCTCAGGTTGCAGGCAGGCCGGCGGCTTGCTGGGCTTCTCCCCTTGGTGTTTGAACGGTGTCCCCCGCCTGTCGCCCTGACTGCTGTGGTCCCTTCTGCCAGGTGACGGCCTCTGGAGAGGGCTCTGCCATCAGCGGCTACCTGAGCCGGTGTAAGAGGGGCAAGCGGCACTGGAAGAAGCTCTGGTTTGTCATCAAGGGCAAGGTGCTCTACACCTACGTGGCCAGCGAGGTAACGGTGGCGTTTCAGGTCCCCCCTTGTCAAGGGGGTGCCCCCGAGGTCCCTGGGGTCTGCCCACGTGACTTCCCCGCAGAGCCCTGTGGATCCCTGTGCGGGGGCCACTCCTCCCGGCAGGGAGCCTTTGTAGAGCAGTGGCCTGCTGGGAGTGGACGCCCAGTCCCCCGTGGCCCCCACCAAAGGGACCTGCAGTCTCTCTGCAGAGACAAGAGGGTCCTGCATGTGGAAGGACACAGGAAGTCTTCAGTTGTCACGGGCCCTGCATCAGGGCACGCACTTAGAAGCCACCCCTTTTGTCCATCCATTTCTTTTACTGGGGTATCTGATGGCTGCAGGGTATCAGACGCCCCAGTAAAAAGTGAAACAGCTGGACGCGGTGCCTCGCTCCCGTCATCCCAGCGGCTCAGGAGGCTGAGGCAGGAGGATCTCCCATTCAAAGCCAGCCTCAGCAAAAGCGAGGCCCTAAGCAACTCAGGGAGACCCTGTCTCTGAATAAAACACAAAATAGGGCTGGGGACGGGGCTCAGGGGTCGAGTGCCCCCGAGTTCAATCCCTGGTACCAAAAAAAAAAAAGTGTGACATTTTTAGAGGTCATCTTAACATCCTCTAAAATAGAGGCTACAGAACCTTCAAAACCGGCAGCCAGCTCCCAAGGTGGACAGCTGTGGGGCTGTGGTCACAGGCGGGGGACTGCTCCAGGGGAAACCTGTTGGATCCTGTGAAAGGGTCGCACCCTCCGGTTGGCAGCCTCCTCAGGCCAAGTCCCCTTTCAACACGGGTCTCAGCTGCGTTCTGACCCCCACAGGAAGAGCCCAGGGCTAGCCGCTCCCTGGTGACCACAGTGGGGCTCGGCTGAGGTCCCCAGGTCACTTCCTTCAGGGTCACGGGGGCCTGCAGGGAAGCAGGCAGACAGGTGGGGGACACTTCCAGAGCCTGAGGGACCAGGCACCGGGACCGAGGTGACCTTGACTCACGGTCACCCAGGTGGGGCTTTTTGTGCTGGGGGCAGTTTTGATCCCACAACAAACTGAAATGTGGCCCAGCAGCCTTCCAGGGCCCAGAGAGGCCTCCGGCTAAGGAGGCACGCCAGGGGACACTCACAGGGGGTCTGTCACCACTGACCGGCTGGCTGGACCTCCTCTCCACGGCCTCCCGGAGGCTCCACTGTCCTGTGAGGTGTGTGAGGAGCTTCCCAGATGTGGCGGCCCCCCACACCGCCCTGCCACAGCCGGCTCCTCAAGCAACATCGCAGGACACGCTTGGGGGACATTAGCGGTCTTCGATGGGTGAAGGGGGTGGCATGTCAGTGGCCTCCCTAGAGAGTCCTGAGAACACAAGGCCCAGCCTCTACAGGTGCTACCTGTTCCTTCTCTTGGTGAAGAGCAGTTCACAACTTTGCTGAAGTCTATTTATCAATATTTTCTTTTTTTGGTCCCAGGGATTGAACCCAGGAGCACTTACCCACTGAGCCCCGTCCCCAGCCCTTTTTATATTTTATTTAGAGACAGGGTCTCCCTGAGTGGCTCAGGGCCTCACTAAGTGGGTGAGGCTGGCCTTAAACTCACGATCCTCCTGCCTCAGCCTCCAGAGCCACTGAGATTCCAGGAAATAGTTTGACTTCTGTGTGACCTTCATCATTTCTCATCTTTTGGTTTCTTTTTCCTGCCCTAGTGCAGTGGCCAGCACCTCTAGTGCGTATCAGATTAGGCTCATGAGTGAGCACCCTCTTTCCTGTTCCCAATTTAGGGGAAAAGCACTTAGGATTTTACTTCTGAGTACAATGTTGGCTGTTGATTTTTTATAGATGTCCTGGGTCAGGTTAAGGCCATTCCCTTCAAGTCCTACTTTACTGAGAGTTCAAATCACGGATGAATGTCGCATCTTTGTCAAACACTTTTCCCAATCTAGAGATTTTTAAAGATTGGTTCAAAATCTTTTTTTTTTTTTTGGTGCTAGGGATTGAACCCAGGGGCACTTTACCACTGAGCCACACCCCCAGCCTATATATATATATACTTTATTAGAGACAGGGTCTCGCTGAGTTGCTGAGGCTGGCCTTGAACTCACGATCCTCCTGCCTCGGCCTCCGAGCTGCTGGGATAACAGGGGTGACTACTGCTCCTGGCCAAAGATACTTACATTTCCTGTGTGGATGGGCTGTGGCTCGGTGGCGGGGTGCTGGCCTAGCATGGAAAGCAGCCCTGGGTTCAGTCCCCAGTAGTTTTTTTTAAAAAAAAATCTATACATAGATTTTCCATGGAGCCGTGTTTGTAAGATCCATCTGCGCCCTCTGGGCAGACCTCATGGAATTGCTAGTGACTCCTTAGCAGGGACACCCGAGGGTGGCGTCCTGGAAATGAGGGTTTGGAGGGATGAACACATCCAAGGTTGTCATTAGCCACCTGGGCCCGCGTCTTTGGTCAGGCGCTGACGGAGGCCGGGTCAGAAGGGATGGCAGGTCCAGATCCACAGTCCGGGTGACGCTGGGGGCCTCTCTGAGCCTCAGTTTCTTCTTTTGAACGGGGACGGACACCCTCAATGATCCTAGTGACGATTGAACAAGGGAATGAAGGAGAAACTGCTTGGCTCCTCCTGATCGGCTGTTCTAGAATGTTCCTTCCCCTTTGGGGTGGCCCAGGCGGAGGCGAGGGTGGGAGGTGAGCGTGGGTGGCCCCCAGACGCCCCTCCTCGTCCACCCCCCATGTTCCCCGCGGGATGCGGTGCTCAACGTGAGGCTGTCCCTTGCCCCCCGCAGGACAAGGTGGCCCTGGAGAGCATGCCGCTGCTGGGCTTCACCATCGCCCCGGAAAAGGAGGGCGGCGAGGCGGGCCCCGTGTTCCACCTTTACCACAAGAAAACCCTGTTCTACAGCTTCAAGGCGGAGAGCGCGGGTGTCGCTCAGAGGTACCAGGAACGTCCTTCCCCCATCCCCCGCCTGTCCCCCAGGTGCCACCCAGAGCCCGCGCGTGTGGCCTGCGCCTTGCCCAGGGCCACCCCTGTCCTCCTGGGGAGGGGCTCAGCCCTGGGATCCGGGTGGACCTCTGCACCCCCCAGCCCTGGGTGCCACAGGGCCCCTTGTCTGGGTGACAGTGATCTGTGCGGTCACCCGGGGTTTCTGTGGCAGGGCCGTGGGGACAGTGCTGTCTTGTTCGCAGGTGGATGCAGGCCATGGAGGACGCCAGCGTGCTATAGCAGTGGCCACTGGGACTCGGGACTCGAGAGACTCTTGGGGGACACTGAGCCCTTGCGGAGGCCACCCGGGTCGCGACTGGTCCTGACCACGTGTCGACCTTCCCGCTGGGACCCGCCCCACCCAGCACCTCCGCAGGTGGAATATTTATGGCCCCCATGTCCCCTGTGTCCCAGCCCCAGCCACGAGCCACTCCCTCATCCGGCAGTGAGGTGACAACTTGGCGCCTGAAGATGGTGACCCACGTGCTCAAGCGGGGGCTTCGGTGCCTGAGTGTCGCTTTGGGCTCCTGGAAGCAGCAGCTGGTCCCTCCTGTCCCGGGGCCTTGGTGGGAAGAGAACCCGCAGGAGAGCTTGTCACCTGTCACCTGTCACCTCCGAAGCACTTTATTTGGCTGAGTCGCCACCGTCATCTCCACGTTTTCCAAGTGACTAAGGGAAGTCACTTCAGAGTCCCGGGGCCGAGTCCCCAGGACTCATTGGCCACCAGCCAGGTGTCCCCTGGATGCGGGCACAGGCACCTGCCCCCGCAGCTGGCCGCGACCGTGTCCTGCTGTGAGTCCCCAAAGGCCCCCTCCTCTCCAGGCAAATCTGGAAACACAGCGGGTGACAGACCCCCACCCTGGGGACCAGCTCGGACCCTCGGGAGACTCTAATTTATTGTGCGCCTTTCCGTGTCCACCCCCCAGGGGCCGCCTGTCCACGGGGGCCTGACCCTAGACACGCGGTGGCCCTGGGGTCCCTGGGTCCCACCACCGAAGCCTTTTTCATGTCTCAAAAGAAGCTAAACAGAAAGAACAGGAGGTGGACCCCTGACCCTGGCGGGTGGCCCTGGACCCTCCAGGGTGTGGGAAGTCGGGGCTTGAAGATCCCTCACCTCCTGGGGCCGTCCACGTTGCTCACGATGCTGGAAAGTTCTTTTTTTTTTTCTTGATGGAAAGCAGAGAGGGGCCGAGGGGCAGGGTCAGCCTTGTCATTTCCTGCTCTCCTGTCCCCTTCTCCTGCTGCCCTGCCCCCTAGGGAAAGGCCTTGGTGACAGACCGTTTGTAAAAAGCACCCTCGTCTCCAGGACTTTATTTACATTAAATATTTTCAGGGAATTCCTTTTCCTAGGTGGCAGTTTTTCCTTTTAAATGTTTGCATTAAGCGGGATGGAGGGTTCCAACCGGGTTCCGGGGCAGACCTGTTTGTTCACGGTGGAGGGCTTCACTCCAGTGGAATCATTTTAGTGGCAAGATGCACATAAATGGGCTTCCTAACGACCCGCTGAGCCAGGCACCGTGATGCGTGTCTGTCATCCCAGTGGCTCAGGAGGCTGAGGCAGGAGGATCGCAAGTTGGAGGCCGGCCTCAGCAACTTAGTGAGGCCCTGTCTGAAAATAAAAAGGGGGCTGGGGATGTGGCTCAGTGGTTAAGCACCCCTGAGTTCAATCCCTGGTACCAAAAAATGAAAAAGGCTCAAGAGTTTTTCTGGTCATGCTGATGAAGTAACTGGGGGACACCCTGTGGCCCAGCCTGGCACTGGGTGGGGGTGTAGAGGAAGAGGACCAAGCTCCGTGTCCCCTTTGGGAATGTGCCGAGGGCAGGCAGCCGCTGCGGTCACCAGGGTGGTTGCTTTGTCTGCACCTAGTGCAACTTCTTCCTCTGATCCTCAGTGTAAAAGCTGTCCCCAAACAGAAGCCTGACATGGGGACTCTGGCCACCGAGGCCAAGGGAGGTAAGAAGAGGCCCAGACGCTACAGAAACGCGGTGGAATCTTCTGTTAATTGATTCAGGCTGCGTTCGGTGGCTTCTGCAATCATGGAACGTTCTCTGCCTCCTGCGCTCCGTTGGTGGCGAGGCCAGATGTGCCCACCCTGAGAAGAGGCCTCTTTTTAGCAGCGAGTAAGAGGAAGCCGACAGAATGGAGCAATGAGGAAGTCGGTTCTGCAGGAGGAGGCCCCAGAGCAGAGGATCCGGTAAACCCCAAATCGGTGGCCTTTTCCGACCTGCTGTCCCAGGATCAGCTGAATTCCAGGGCTGCTTCCCAAGGCTGCTGGCTGCCACTGAGAGCCGGGGCTCCTGTCCCTGTCCACAGCCCCCAGGGAAGGATGGCTGGGCTTCCCAGGGCTACTTCTTGCTTAGAAGCTCCCCCCAGTGAACCTTTCCTCTTTTTAAGTTAACTATGTCGGGTATTTTGTTGTAGCGACAGAAAGCTGATTAATATGTCAGCAGCAGGCGGGGAGGGGTGGCCGCTGTGGGTTCATGCAGGGCCCACTCTCTGGATCAAATCTTCTAGAAGAAAACTCGGGTTTGGATTAGTGACATGCAAGGGCTTCACCTTGCCATGGATTCTGGGGATGATCTGTGATAGAATACTCAGAGGGCCATTATTTGGGCCATCTGTCATCCATGTTTTGTAGGTATTCGAGTCAGTGGTATTGGGGAAGGTGATTTGACATTATTGATCTTGTAAGTTCCCAGACAGAATTGTTAAATCAGTAGCTAAATAGTACTGACCTCTATGAGCTCCCAGAGACTCTTTGCATGATTCTTGGCAACAACTAAGCACTGAGCACTCCGTAACCTTATTATTCAATTGAATTCTCCCCCAGAGGCCTGCCCAGATGAGTTCTGTGGTTATGCCCATTTTGCAGATGAGGAAGCTGGGGACGAGAAGCATTAGTCATTTTTCTGGGGTCACAATTGACAATGTTGGGCCTAGCTAAGAGCAATGCCCACGCTGGGGCTGCTCCCCAGCGTCTCTTGATCTGCTCGCTCACTGTGAGCAGTCTTCCCTCAGGGTGACTTCTGAGCTGGGCCTTGACTCACAGCGAAAGGGGACTGGAGAGGTGAGGGGGGCAGAGGGCAGGAGGACGGGGGGCAGGAACGGGCCTCCGCGTGGCCTCTTCAGGGACTGCACTGGTTCAGAATGGCCAGACGCAGACGTCACGACAGTGGTGACGCCGGAAAGGCCATCTGGGGCCACTGACCTTATCCTCCAGTTAATAGCAGTCTCCGGGGGCCTTAAGATGCTTTCAAGTTGGGGACAAGGTCAGGTCTGAGTGTTAGGAAGCCCCTTGCTCTTCCGTTGACAGACTGTCCCCGGGTCCAGTCTGTCAACGCTGCCACTCAGATGCCCTCCTGCATGTTCCGTGTGGCACTGTCACTCCTGCTTAGTGTGGCGTATACATTCCCTTCCCTTGGGCCCCGCCAGACCTTGGCGATGGCCTCACCAGGTAACAGGCAGAGGAAGTGACTCTATGTAACTTCTGGAGCTAAATCATAAAAATGCCACTTTGTTTTCTTTTTTCTGGTACCAGGATTGAACTCGGGGACACTCGATCACTGAACCACATCCCCAGCCCTATTTTTGTATTTTATTTACAGACAGGGTCTCCTTGAGTTGCTAAGTTGCCGAGGCTGGCTCTGAAGTCTCCATCCTCCTGCCTCAGCCTCCTGACCCACTGGGATTACAGGTGTGAGCCACCTCCCCAGCCCCCACTTTGTTTTCTTGTGACACTTTTTTTTTTTGGTTGACCTTGGGAACTTTAACACTGAGCTGAATCCCCAGTCTTCTTTATTTTGGGGGTACTAAGGGTTGAACCCAGGGCCTTGCACATGTGAGGCAAGCCCTCTATGACAAAGCTGCATCCCCATCCCCTTTTTATTTTTGGGCTTCACTAAGTTGTCCAGATGGGCCTCAAACTTGTGATCCTCCCGCCTTGGCCTCCTGACTGTGGCATGCATCTGCTGTGCTGTGGAGAAGCCCAGTCCACGTGGAGAGGCCCTGTATAGTCAAGCAGGTGTTCCCATGAGAACATCAACCCCAGACTTAGAAGGGAGTCTTGCCCATCACTCCAGTTCCAGCCACTGTCACTGCGACCATGAGGGACCCGAGACTTACCTAACTCAGCTCCTAGAACTGCAAGATGGTAATTGGTTTAAAAGTGCTTTTCTTTTCTTGCTGGGTGCAGTGACGGACACCTGTAATCCCAGCAACTTGGGAGGCTCAGGCAGGAGGATTGCAAGATGGAGGCCGGCCTCAGCAACTTAGCAAGGCCCTAAGCAACTCAGCGAGACCCTAACTCGAAACACAGAAAAGTTCTGGGGAATGTGGCTCAGCGGTTAAGCACCCATCACCCATCGAGACGTACAAGGGGCCCTGCTTTTGAAGAGGCTCCAAACGAGGCCCAGATGTCCTGGGAGACCAGGACAGGACTGAAGGCAGAAGGAAAGAGACATGAGACTGAGATCCCCAACACTTCACCTCCAGATTAGGGACTGCCCACCCTCCACCTGGCAGGGAGCGGGGTTGTTCTCTGGAAAGAAAAACTACAAGAGGCTGGGGACTCAGATGCAGGCCTGGCTGAGAGGAGGGGGACAAGACACTTCACAGAAATCAGGACAGCTGGCGTCCACGTGCTCACCAGGGGAACGCTTCCCCCCACCTGCCAGCCCTCAAGATTGAGTTCCTAGTTACACAACATTTCAAAACAAGGAGCATCCTTCAGAACCACCCGTGTTCTAAAAACAGGGCCCAGTGCAGATGCACCTTGCTGAAACAGACCAGGGTGACCCTGCCCAGGGCAACTGCAAGGAACCTCTTCCAGGTGCAGGAAGCAGCTTAAAGGGGCCTGAGTCTCAGAGAAGGCAACTCAGACAGGAATAGGGAATGCTCTCCTCCCAGGTCCCTGTGCTCCAGAGCCACCTGGCCACCCCAGGGACATGAGTCTCTCTGAGCCCTCTGCAAGTGGCCTGATGGGACTGACTTGAACAGAGACACGAACGTGGGCACAACAGGGCTGTCTTCCTCAGAGTCCTTGAGGACAGAAATGACTATTAATAAATGCTCCGCTGTTTGCTGAGCACGTGACTTGGTGTCAAGTCACCCTCCCTGCTCTGGCCTCGGCCTCTTCAGCTGTAAAAACAGGATAATGCCGACTACTTCATGAGATTACAGCAAGATTAAACGGGATCATGGGTAAGTGTCAGGAATGTGCAATCCCGGGCCACAGCTTCCGCCTGCCCCCATTCCAGTCTCCAGAGAAAAAAATCAAAGGGTTGACAGCAACTGTGCAAGGTTTGAACGTTTATTTCACAAGTGGGAAATAATTATATAAGCAATCCAAAGAGAAGGCTGAGAAAATGGTCACCCTAGATAAAAAAAGCATCAACTATTACAGGAGATGGGATAAAGCCCTTATACGTGGTCATTCCAAAGGCAACGATTAAGCCTTCCCCACCCAGGATACAAAAGTCAGCAATTGATTTATCTCAAGAAAGGGAAAGCACCATTTATTCTTTTCTTAACATCAGATCTCTGCGCAATCATTTGAAAAATTTTGTGCATCTACAACTATTGTTGAATTAAAATCTGATTGTCATGGAGTCAACGTATATCATTTAAATTTCAATGCACAATAATGTTGGATGGTAAACAGGCATGTTTACTGTGCGAGGTAAAAAATGAAACCGTGATAGTTCCTGCTCTCAAGTTCACGGGGAAAAACCAATCAATTATTGACCACGGAACAGACTGAAAGAGACCTGCCCTGGGGACAGCTGGGGCAGATGAGTGTCACCCACAGAGCTCTGTGCAAGGAGCCAGAGCTCACATTAGAACCCGTTTTTTTGCCGAGTTCCTCTGTAAATATAGGGACAATACAAATATTGTCGGTTTGTCACACACTGCTGCTAGGAAAAGCACTCATAGCCCCTCCTTTCCACTGTGCATCAGGTCTACGTGAGGGCAGGGACAAAGGGAATAGCACATCCCCATCCAGGGCATGTGGGCAGGTGCAGCTAGATGCATGATCACCCCCCACCCCCAGCTCCTGTCCCTGTAAATAAACAATCTCTGGGTGACGGTTTGTTTTGTCACGCATGTGTGCAATGAAATCAGCGGTGCAGGCCTGGAGAGCACAGAATTACCCGTGATGCTCAGCGAAGTGCTGAAGCCAGGCCCTGCTTCAGCACCCGGGGGACCTGGCAATTCAGAGGGGCACCCAGTCAAGAATCCCTTAAAGGCTGGTCAAGCAATGTTAAAAGTACTGCAAATGCAGATGCTTCTAATGAGCTCAGGAAAAGGCAAGTACAGCCGGCACAATCCAACGTGCATTTTTTGTGTGCCTACAAAGCCTATTAAGAATTATAAAGCCAATTAAAGCATTAGCCCAGTGCAGCCCTGAGGGAGCACACAGTCCCTGGGTGCATGCACACGTGCATCTGTCTGCAAGGAAAAACGGCCAAGTCAATCAAGGGTTATGAGCCCTACCTGAACGCTACTGCAAAATGTGGCAATCAGGTGAGCTGATTCATTGCAAATTTAACACCATAAGGGTACACCAGAGCCCTGGCTTTACTGAGGCATCTACAACCCTGGGCAGGTCATGGACTCTCTCTGTACAAGTTTCTGCACCTCAAGAGAATGCATGTTTATACAGAATATTAAGTGAAAAGATTAGAAAATCATAAATCATTGAAACATTCATGACTGTTTAGATTAAAAAAAAAAACACCCTAGGTTCCTCTGATAACCTGTTATGGATGTTCACACATCTCTAGGCCTACTTAGCATTAAATTTTTATTTTTGGAAAAAGTGCACAAAGCAGTCCATGTCTACAAGGACTTACCCTCCAAATATTGTGTTACCTTAGGTACAAGGTTTGCCCTTTTGGGTTCTCACCCACTTCCCTGATAAAATAGGAAAAAAAATCTCCCTGCCAGAGAGGATTTCACCGGATTCTCTCCAGGCCCCTTCCAGTTCCATGGAGTGTGGGTCACCTGGATATTAGGAATACAGCTCTTGGGCTGGGGATGTGGCTCAAGCGGTAGCACGCATGCTGGGTTCGATCCTCAACACCACATACAAATAAAAGTAAAATGGAAATGTTGTGTCCACTGAAAACTGAAAAACATTAAAAAAATCCTCAAAAAAAAAAAAAAAAAAGGGATACAGCTCTTTCCTGCACCTTGCAAGGTGACAACAGAGTGGAAAGGGAAACAGGTGTGTTGAAAACACCTCCTACCAAAGAGAAACCTTTTAAGATAGAAATATGTTAAAATATTTTAAATAAAGTATTTTAGGATCATGGACAAAATCAAAGTAGGAATCACCCTGATAAAATCGGTAGAGGTACTGTTTAAGAACAGTCATCTTGGAGTATTTATTCCTAATGAAAAAAGGGGAGGAAATCGATCAGGACCTGCAGCCTGCAGAAGCATGGTGATCAAGGCAAGGGGACACTGGACACTCGGGGACATGGGGACAAGTGCCCGCGTCTTCCCAAGCTTTGACCTACAAGAGCCAAGCCCAAACCCGAGCCCCACGACCCCAGAGGCGGCAGATCGCGACATTTTCCTTGGGCAGCGTCGCCGCTGTGGTCAAAGCTGCTCTGCGCACACCACCCCCCTTTCCTGGGTCCCGATCGCGGAGGGGAGGGGCGGGGCGCGGACTGCGCAGGCTCAGCCGCGAGGTTCGCTTTAAAAAAACAAGAAAAAAAACCCCACCCAGGTGCGGGGCGTTGCCCACGAGGCCCGGCTCGGGCGTCACCTGGGCGCTCTGGGCCTGGCACCTTTAAATCCCCACA